CAAGCGAAGTCTTGGCGCGCACAAAGCCCAATTCATAAAAATATTGCCAAAATTCGAAATTTCACGCCCGTCGAGAATGTTTCCCTCATCTGCATCATCTTGTAAACTTGTCTTGATCCCTCTCAAGTCCATCCCAAAGAGCTATCTCCCAGATTTGTGCTCCACGCTTTGCTTCCTCCGTCGGGTATAAATATCGGCGTGGGCGTGTATTTGGTGACCGGCTGAGGCCAGAGAAAGTCGACGAGAGGTGTGGTCATTGAAACGAGGATGTACTAGGTCGTATTTGTAGACTTGATGAAGCTTAGTTGAGAATCGGACTCTTTGGGAGTGAAAGATTGACATGGTGGAGTAATTTGAATTTTTGCCTCGTGGGCCAACTTCTTTGATATTGCGAAGTTTGACTGAACTTGGCTCTGGGAGAATATTTCACTCCCAGGTTCGTAGAGAGCACCACTGACAGGTGTTCAGTCTTGCCCTCCGAGCGCTGGTAATGCCGATGCATTAAAGGAGAAACTGAATCAGTTGATCTGTTTGGGACTGCTCTCATTGAGAAAGCCTCGCCCTGGACGTCCTACAGGATTAAGAATGTCCCTCGATTCTACGGGACAATAAACCAAAACTTGCAATACTGCCTCGAACCTGTCACGACCGAAGCCGTAACAGCTGCTGTAGCAACAGCTATAAGGAAATGGTTAAACTGTCCTTTGCAGCTATTGATGGTGACATGAATTAAGATGATGATTGTGATTGAGATAGATTTCTATATATTTTATAATACATGATATGCTCAGGTTCATATACCTCGAGCCAAGCAACCAGATTATGTTCCTCTAGATCTAGATTAATCAGAATAATTACTTACTCAGTATAATTCTCCTAGTCTCAGTTGTGTGTTTAGGATCTTGATTAGGTTTCTAGTAACTAGTCAATGATGTTTCTCATATCACTGAGACATAGTCATGGTTGATACAACAGGTACAAACGATGAGTCGTGCCTGTACATGACGTTGTGATATAGTCATGATCGTCTGAACAATATCAACTCTTGAATGAATCATGTCTCTACATGACAACAGCAGCTAGCGCTACCCCCGTCTCCGTACTCCAGTCCCAGGATAATGAGACAATCCCAGACAGCCCAGACACAACCTGGATTGTTCGCTTTCCTCAAGAGCATAGCCGTCTTCCGCGTATTCTTTATCTCTTTGGGTGTCGCGCCGTCATCCGAATCCTTCCTAAACGCTCGTCGGTAGTACAGTGCAGGACGTGCTGGCTTTGGCACAACAGTCGCGCTTGTTCCTCTGCCCCAATATGCCGCCTTTGTGGGTCCATCCAACACACAGAGAAGGACCACAATAACCTCTGCGCCGTACCGGCTGGACATACTTGCCCTCCGCGATGTGTGCACTGTCACGGCCCTCATCCAGCAGACGATCCAACTTGTGAGCTACGGCCACAATCCTCTAATCCTCCAAAGACAAAATCACAGGTTGTCGCCATTCGGAATATCTTCTCCAAGGCGCGCATCCGCCGCCAAGCAGAAGCTGGATGCGTTAAGCATTCTGCCGCCCCGCAGAGCTCCAGCACCTCTCACACAGCACAGCGCACTAGCTATCCTGCAGTTTCCCAAGCAGCAGGACCATCAACACGATCTGCAGCCGCATCCAAGCGGACTATTTTCTTAAACCCTTTTGAGATCTTGAAGACATCAGCCGGGGCGTCAGATGAGCAGATGGAACTTTGATAAGATAGAAATCAACGTGGCAACCTTTCAACTTGCCTTGTACCAACTCATTACGTACTAACTTGTCCTCACATCCGTGGGTATTGCACTTACACCAAAGGGGTTTATATTAGATTTTTTTTTCCCTTATATATCATTTACTGTCGGTTCATAGAGCTCCACTAAAATAGATTTGTCATCATGGGGATCACATGACGAGCTCGCTATGAACACGCTAGCTAGGTGCCACTTCGGTTATGAGTTGCGACTCTCTCTTCCTGATGAGACAGACAGACAGACATAATACTATTAACTCTTTCTCAACCTTTACGATCGATCGTGAAATCACCCCGTAGTAATTCCAACATTTACCATAATTGTATCTTAGTCATCAGATACTCTCTTATTTTGTAGATCAGGTCTTATGTCCCTAGGTTAGGGAGTCGTGAGCCTCCAACAACTGAGGCAGTAAGCTTTGGCGTCCTTTTTCCATTTGGATTTTAGATAAGACAGGCCTAGGCCCGATTTTAGATAGACGTTAAATAGAAAACAAACAAACTGTCGCTATCCACCATATCCAACTGTCGGCGGAACATTGGAGAATAGTTGATCCGTTGGCTCACGTAAGCTAGACGCGCACGCGTGCTATTAGTTAGATATTGGCTTAGCAAACTAGAATAGAATAACAATGAATTTATATACATCCAGTTGTCTTTGAATCTACTAGTCACGTACGTGATACATAACCCATCCAACACAAACAAACATAAAGATAATCACCCTATATCAGCAATTTGCTATAGAGATTCAAGTTGAATAGCTCTGGGTAATAATTCTCGTTGCTCTTAGACCGCACGTGCCAGTTTTTTAAATCTTTCATTGTGTATTTGGCTGTCTAACTATTACACATGATCGGTGCTATTTGTACATGTCAGATAACTCAATTAACAGTGGAGACTCTCGTACTCTGGATTTCATTCGCAAATACCACTACGAGGTATGTTCGCTTACACAAACAGTTGTCCCTTCGTGAGTACTCACCAAAGGGAATTTCAAAACCTTTGATTATCCAAGCATGCCTTCGTCATCCATGCATACCAGCGCCGCGAGAAAAGTGGTTGTGTTTTGCTGGATTTGAACCAGCGATCTACTGTCTCAAGTGGGATATGTGTTCAAGCTATCCAGACTCTACTTGGCAGATCGGCCAAGACGATGTACCACCGCACCATCCAGCCATGGCGGTGTTTATAGTGTCGCCTGCACTCTCGCAACCGAAGCCTTGGCACGCACAAAGCTAAGCTTGTAAGACTTATAGACAGAATTCCAAATTTCACGCCCGTCGGGATTATAGCCATCCTCTACATCATCTTGTAAATTTGTCCTGATTCCTCTCACGACCATTTCAAAGAACAATCTCCCAGATTTATGCGCCACGCTTTTTTTCCTTAGTCAGATATGAATATCGGCGTGGGCGTGTATTTGGTGACCAGCCGAGGCCAGAGAAAGTCGACGAGAGGTGTGGCCATTGGGATGAGGATATACTTGGTCGTACTTGTAGACTTGATGAAACTTAGGTAGGAGTCAAACTCGTTGGGTGTGTTATCGGTTAAGGCAAACGGTGACTGCACGCAATCAATACCATAAAATGATTAATATTTTTCAAGGGGAAGGTATATTACAACTGGATTGTGCCAACACTACGTATACCTTGACAATCACCTCACACAAGCACTACCGAATGTTCGATTTGATTTGTTCATTAACGTGCTAGGTAAATTAGCTACCGTTGCACTACTTCTGGAGCTTAAGCACGAGTGGGGCAGGGCTGAGATAGGTTAACTACCTTTAAGTACATCTACCTCGTCCCACCTGAATGAGCGGACCAGCTTAGACTTTACCCATGTGTTGAATCATGTCAAGCCCAACCGTCCAGAGAAACCTCTTTTGATGCGCCGAAGCACAAATTCCTCCTCAGCCTCGGCCACCACGCGCCCGAGCCCTCGACACCTTCGCCATCTGTAACTTTTCCCTTCCATTCATTCCCAGCTTAGGCTCATCTCAACCAGGGGTCTTTTTCTTCACTGGAGGCCTCATCCAGTCGCCCACCAAGACCTCCTCAGTTTTTATTCCTTTTTGTTCCTTCATGTAGTATCCCTCTGTCCTTTAGCCAGCCTCGTCATCCCAGAAACTTTGTAGAATGTCCACCCCTCCGGCCTTGCCCCGTCGCTACCGTACCCCTAACCGTGGAGGTCGAAAACGCGACTGAGAGCTCAAGACCAAGGCAACGGTGCCCCAGCCTTTGTCGAACGTTCTAGTTGGTGTGCCGGTGAAATATCGTACGTATTTCGTCGGTGGCAATTCGTCGCAGGTCGAGTTGTTGGTGTCCTTGGCCGAGGTGAGGACGCATCTAAGGCCGGTATTTCGACCGTACCTTCACAGCAACTAGCAGTTGTGTAGGGTCGGACATCCTCTTGCTTCTTTATTGGCGATTTGGCCATTAGAGGTATGGGATTGCTTTGGTAGGTGGTGAGATGACTGTGGAGAGGGCCGCGAGATGAGTTTGGCTAGGAGTGATTTTCCAGAGAAATAGAAAATAAGATCTTGAAGGTGTCGGTTGTTATCATACGAACATCAGTCAGGTCATAGCCTATCTGCGGTTCATATCTGGGGTGTAGATGTTTGATTTCGTTGAATTGTGCAGTCGTGAAATCTCTGCAAGTCAGATTTTCGACCAAAAATGAGCCAACACCACTCCTCCCGATCGCCAACTCGACGAAAACTCCCAAATTCACCCTTTGTCGTGACTAAATCTCGGCTCTGGAGGAATATTCCACTCTCAGGTTCGTAGAGGACACCACTGACAGGCGTCAGCCTTTGTCATCCAGCACTACCAATGGAATTTGCTCAGCGTGAAAGGCAGAGCCTTTTGCCACATTCTGACTGGATGCAAGGCTATGCATGCAGGTCAGCCTAGACAACCAGCAGCGGGTAATCCCGTAACAGGGTGGGAGAAATCGTCTAGGTGGAAAGTCTTGAATCATTCTCTCGTGGGCCAGCTTGTTCGGTATTGCGAGACTCGACTGAACTTAGCTCTGAGAGAACATTTCACTTTCAGGTTTGTAGAAGACACTGAGTATAGGTGTTCAGTCTTTGGCCTGCTGTTGTTCAAGGTGCAAAAGCGTTAGGTACGTGTGGAGCCCAGTTAAATTACGTGAACTAGCATTGCGAGAAGACCCGCCCGAGTGGTTGGGTTACCCCAGATTTTATCATTACATATTCAGCTAGGTCGAAACAAGACATTCAAGGGGTTTTCTTGCAACGCGATGAGGCGCCGCATTCCCCCAAAACTCGGTTCCCACATATCAGTGGTGCCTTTTTCCTTTCCACCTCCACATGTTTTTGCTTTCCAGGTGTTCTGTTCTAGCTTGGCATTTGCCCATACGATTTTTGGTTCAGCCTTATATATAGGAACCAAACTTCGGTTGTCAAACCATAGATCGTCAGTACTTGCAAAACTTATCTCATCTAAAACTGAACTTTCAGGCGGCAGGATGGTCATAGAGATATGTGGTACGTTTTGCATTTGGTGCGATAGATCTGTCAGAAACTGAAGGATGTAAAGCACGTAACTTTTTGATATTTGATACCTGTGCAATCATAGTTTCAGTTGTGAATTGCAAGTTGATAAAAGCGAATTTTCTATTGATTCCTTAATGGTTTCCCTAATCATATTCACCTGTAAAAGATTCATAGCTATGTTGGTTACGACTAAAGTCCGCCCCTGTTGAATCCAAGTTGTTCTTAATGCTCAGCCATCGGCTGATGAGTAATATGAACTTGCTACATTCCCAGAGGACACTTCTCAAGTGCGCTCAACTACCATCCTATTCAGTGGTAACCTGGAACAAGGGTAAACATGTCAGAACTTGGAGTGCTTTGATACGGAAAATTACAGCGATCGCAATTCGATACATAAAATGATGGGTCTATGCCTACATCTGAAATTACTGGTGCACTCTATATCTGATCATCGTTTAGACTATCAAAAGCCATCCGCACCATCATGTGCATCTATTTAGTAATATGTGAACCGATTTTATTGCTCAAGTCGGACAGTTGTACTAATAAATTAAATTTTGGTTTAATTTAAATACTTTTTTCTAGCCAGTACCACGCTGATTGCCATGTGCAATCGAACTTTTTTTACGGAATATATTCCGCCCGTTCTTAGAAGATATAAGATGATACCGCGCAGGGACCCAAATTAGAAACCTGCAAGGCTGACGCTTAACAGCGCAATTCCATTACATGGATGTAATCAATTCAGTTAAACCTGAACCCCAGTAAAATAGATCATTCTCAATTTCGTCATCGCTTTGTACTAGCGCGAAAATTTTCTGTGCATACCCCACCAACTCCGTCACACTGCCCACCAGAAATACCTGAACGCCTTCGCTATGGAAATGAACATGATGAATAAAGCTAAGCGTAAACTGTGCACCATATCCCAATGTAAGGTAACTTTGAAATTCTTGACCGAGCCAGCAATTCGCAAATGAAGCATCGCAGGTGACTGCCAAGCTGCGACAGCTTCGCGGGCGACCATCGATACCCTTGGGTACCGATGAATGGCCTTTAGATTTAGACCAATTAAAGTAGAATATTACATCATCCCTAAGAGCTTATTCTATTTCTTAAACACAAAACCTGCGATCCAACACACGGATAGCACGCTGATCTTCGCCTATGACTTTAAAGCCTTCGTGTGCGTGTTTGTTCTGGGATGCCTGTTGCCAAAATGTCGATGATTCACTTAGACTTTGAGACGAGCTACTGATATTTTCCTCGGAATTAGTTTGCTTGTAACTTGACATGAATTCCGTAGCGAGTACTAAACTCCCTATTGAAGGTATATTGCTTGCTAAATGTGAGTTTATCTTGCTGGCATTTTTTACATATCTTTCAGAATTACTGTTTCTCGGATTTTTCGTACTGGTGTGGTAGGAAGATTGTGCTTTTGTGGTAGATAAATTAGAGAGATTTTTGTTAGGGAATTTTGTGTCCTTAATCTGTTTTAAATCTGTCGCAGGTGCCGGGGAAAGAATAGCTGATAGATGCTGAGAGGAGTGAGTGCATTTCGATGGTTCAGTGGCTGAATCAACTCGAATTGCACATTGAGCAGTATTCGAAACAATCGAAGGAAGAGAATTTTTTTGATGAATAGCTACTGGTTGAGTCGGCGTTATGAGAGAATTCAGGATCGAGTAGTGTGACGGTTGTTGCGAATGGTTAGGAGAGTAGCGATCGAATTTTTCCAGGACTTGAGTATGATTCGAGTCTAACTTGACGCGGGATTCGCATGGTGAGGTTCGGTTTAATTGAGATTGCGATGGGTTAGGGCAAGAAGGACTGGAAGTGGCATAAGCGACGTTAGGGTATTCCGAATGTTGGGTTGCAGCTGATTGGGGCGATAATGGCCAAGAGTAAGCTGATGAGGAAGGGTACTGGTAAGATAGTGAACAACGCAAAGCGGAAGGCGACACAGAAGATCCCAGACGCTGCGACTGGGGTTGCTGTGAATGAGAGCTAGATTGGGTGACACTACGCGATGTTGATAGTCCTTGCGTTTCGTGTAGAGTAGATTCAGGATACATCCCTTTAACCGGTACTATATGGCGCAGTTGAAGATCAGATGTTGGTTGAGATAGTTCCGGGTCGTTTGGGTGAGGACGAGAGTAATAGCTGATAAGATGCAGATGCTGCCCTGTAGAAGTAGTGATGCTGAACGATTGTTTCATTAACCCATCCATTTTATATCGATACCCATCCGGCTCATCCTCATCCATATCTTCGTCACTTCCTCTACTACTTTCTGGGGACGAGCCTGCTACATGCCTTGGAGGCGGTGGGATAAATTGTCCTCCTCCTCGCTTTCCTTCCATCTCACGATATGTTAAGAAGCTTCCAGAAACACGGCTTGCGCTCCAACTCTTTCCATCAGTCCATCTTCGCATTCCCGCCTCTCGTTCATCCCAGACAAAGACTGACCCGGACTTTATCAACTGTCGTTCTTTTTCGGAGAGACGGCGCTGAACACGCGGTAAAACTCCCAATCGACAGGCCTCGAACAGCTTTATTGCATCAGCCGGTGTTCGTATATGGCCATGATACGTTTCCATCTTGATTAAGGTCTGATATGTGAGTAATCAACCCAAACACTTTTTGTGGTCCGAGAATAGCGATGTATTTTCGGCTATGGATAACAGTGGATTGAAAAATGTAGCCTTTTACTATTGGAAAAACTTGCTAAGCTTCGTAAAATAAAAACTTCGTAGTTCGTGAAGGTGTTTCTGTAGCAATTCGCTTCTAACTACTAATTCCAAAGGTGTGAATGGAGGTTGATAACAGATGCAGAGATACAATATAAAATTTGTAAATCACTCGCTCGAGGGCAAAAGTGAAAGCTTAGAGTGGGGTACTGCTGAAGAAATGTTAGTCTGATAGATGTGACAGTCACATATTGTAGCGATAATTCTATTTATGTCTGTCTGTACGAGAGCAAATCGGTAGACTTACAGAAATTTTATGCTCTTTGCTCAGGTCATGATCCCGATGATGATCTTACAGATTAAGGGTTTGTGCCTGGTATCATTGGCGTCGGTCTGTCGAGTTGATTGAGAATGAGCATAAATGAGCCACGTCTAATCCTTCTCCTCTTAATCCTTGTAGGACAATGTTATAATATACTACTCGTTTTTTGATGCCGATGAGCGTGGCACCTTATCAGCTCTTATTCTTATTTCTTTCACAGCCCATTCGTCGCTCATGCTAACCTCAGGCTACTCATGATTAGGTTTTCCTGGGTCGAAGCTGGACAAGGGTTGACAAATGGGGGACTTATGGTCGGCCTCAACGCAGTAGGAACATGGATATTTAGGCCTAGCGGGTAAAAAAACCTTAATATGGCCGTTGTCAAGAAATCCCCGAAATTTCCAATTTTTCGATATTGCATCATGGTCCCGGAAATGAATGGGATCGTGGGCATAATTTTAGAGGTCAGGTATCCTAGAAAGGCCGAGCCGCTCATGACTTGTTTATCGGATAGTGTGGATCCTATGGACTCGAGATGTGTTTTCATGAAATGCTTACACGGCTGCCGCTGCAGGCTCAAAGCCCCGCATGTGGCTGGGAATATGATAAAATCGTTGTGGATCTGGCGCGTGGGATTCTGCGCCCACCTTGTCTGTCCCGGCCCCTTTCACCCAGTTGAATAATACCCTTCTGTGGCCGACATTACATAGACAAGATCCAGGCGTCGCTCTTCCCCAGTTCATAAGTAGCGATGTTGAAACACTACCGGACCGAACAGAATAGTGACGAAGGTTAGGAATTTTATTGCATTTCAGGTGCCAAGCATTATGAAGTAAATTCTAAGGTTGATGCGTGGGGATCTTACGCAGATAAATACGGCAAAGTTTTCTCCCTGTCGGACAAACATTGTCCTGAAAATTCGTTGGATTAGTAGCCTTCAAAAACGAGCGGGTTAACAAACAAAACTATTCCACCTCAACCAGGAATCAGCTCGGACAGATTACCACTTTTCCAACCGAATTTTCTCCCAATCCAGAGTAGGTACAACAAGTCCTTGGGGTCTTTGTACCCAGAAAGGAGGGTTCAATGTGGGAGCTTGCAAGACAAATCGTAGACCCCTTCGTCCAAGGCAAAAGAAAATTGAGCATATAAGATCAGCAAGCCGTGCTTGATTAGGACTTCTCGACAAGTGCTGAAAATAATGCTGACTGGGCTGGTTTCCTGTATCCATTTCTTTGAATCCCCGTTGGCGAAATTTTACTAGATGCTATGACCGGTCTATCATCACAAGCGCTGTGATGCAATCTAAAGTAGGTACAGTTTTTGGTCTTCGTACAAGTATGAGCTGCGACAACGATTGGCTGTGTCTTTACAATGATCCTCAGCGAGTTTGCCTCCTTGCTGCAAGGTGCATAATGGTAAATTCGATAGTAATTTGACCAGGTTCTCTGTTACCCTAGGAAAAACGTACATTTAGGAATGCCTGGATTCAAACTTATCGATGTTTGTCGCAGGGCCGATGCGCGCACTGCTCGCAAAATCTTATTTAGCCCTAGTCTAACACCCACTGCAAAAGTGGAAAATCGGATATCTCATTCAGCATGAACCAGTTCATGTAATTTGCTGTGTTTCGCTGCATTCAGGATTCACGACGACTACACTGATTAATGGAGGATAAGGTAATTATTGTCTGCATCACATCGGCGCATAAGATTAAAGACGACAGAACAATTTTAAACAAGTTTTTCACAGTAGAGTGCTGCAGCTGAGACGATGCGATTTGAACATCGAATTCTGATGGAATGGGACATCTGTTTATCGTCGGCACGCAGTGAAACAGCTCGATTTCACCGCTTTGACCTACCTGGTAATGCCTCGTCTGATGGCAGCTTGACTGAGAGCTAGCGTTAGCACGGTCGTTTGACTAAAGGTAACAATATCGCAAGCCTAAGAGGTTTATGGGCGCTGCTGTACAACAAAAAACTTGGTGCATAGCATAATTCTTGTTGTTCTACCTCAAACGATTGTGTGCATCACCTATAATGCCGAATGGTTTGCTCTCGACTAAGTGGTCGCCTCTTGGGCCTGTCATTGTTAGAACCTGCAGTCTGGTTATCGGGGGTCTGCAGCATGCGGATCAATGGCTCCCAGTATTTCTCAATCCCGTTGGCCCATGATATGAGCCAGTCTGGGTGTCTATGAGCACAAGGCTAACACATAGTTGCATTATCGTTTCACTGGTCCACAATTGGCAATTCGCTCGGAAATTCTTGGGCTGATATCTGACCCATTGTCTATGGCAAATGGGAAACGCTATGTCAGACATGACTGCTGCCAATCAGATGCTAGTGCGGTTGTACAATGAATCTGATGGGGTGAAATAATTTGTCGCAACGATTGCTCATTATTCCAGAAACATAGGGTTAGGAGGGTTGCTAATGCTCAGAGCGTCTACACGTGCAGTTCAAGGATAGATCTGTGCATATGAGTTTTTGGACACTGGTGGTAAATTTGGAAATGAAGAATCCGGTCTTGGTATCGATCAGATTCCATCCAATGCCCTGTCATATTTAGCTTTTACTCGCGAACAGATGAAAAAGCAGTACATTTGAGAATACGAATCCCTGACTATTGGCCAGGGTTCAAGCTCATAGCAATCATGCAAAACCCGAGCACAACTCGTATGTTACTCGTAAAGCCCAGACCCCGCAGTCACACGGGCGCTTTATCCTGCATCTCCAGAAATGCTTTTCGTGCACGCTTTATCCTTACATCACAGTCTGATCCCCAATATTCTATGTTATCTGGTTTTGATAATGGCTTTTCCTATAAATTAAACTTCCGCAGACTCTCGAGCTGAACTACAGAATTCCAAAATGCGGAGGAGGCAGACATTGAGAGGCCGGTTTAGTGCACGGTCAGATGGCATCCAGGGCGTGCGGAAAAGCATTGCAAAAGTCGATACCGGGAAATCTCGCATAGAATATTCCCACTGACACTATCCTAGTTGCGTTTTTACTATATTCAGCACAGTGAAAGAGTAGTTAATTTGTGGCAGCGCTCGACGCTTTGCCTCTGAAAAGGACTGTTTACAATTCGGTACGACCTGTATGCGCTCGATCAGTTTAAAGCTTAGACTCTGTTGTAGCCAAATGCCACGACGTAAACATTTGGCTATTCCAATAGTACATTCTCTGCACTCGCACTAGTGGATACTATGGAGCAAGTCATCGCAATCAATTACTTTAGCGCGTGATCTCAACATTACCCTGGGTATGACGGGGCACTGTGTTAACGTTAACTTCGATAATGTCAATACAACTTTTTCATTCAGCGAAATCCTACGCCATGTACTCTAAAGAAGTTACAATAATTTCCGATCGCCGGCACAGGCCAGTTACTTAAATTTGGCTCACGAGTAATAGCAGGCTCCACATGGAACATCCAACCGCAGGCCACAACAAACAAGAATACTCGGACTGGTACAACAGGCCGAATGTAGCATCAATAGTCGAGTGGAACCAGTAAAAAATACTCTACTTCAATTGAGCTCAACTGACTCGTGACTAGGGGGTGAAGGATGAATAATTGGAGCCCTTGATAAGGTCTTAACAACACAGTAGAATCCAGGTGATTAAAAGTGGGTATAACCGTATTTTCTACTGGTACGACTATCGTGACACATTATCAGTAGGTCTGAGATCTACGCCCAGGAAGTTCTATATCCAGTCGTCAGCACCGTCTCAAGTACATTTGCCCTAAATTATGCGATACACTAGAAACAAAAAATATAGTTTCGGAATACACATTTCATGCTTCTGAAATACACTAGGACAGAAAATACATCCCGGGGTTACCATCTCTAATTCCACAAGCTGAATGAACTTTCGGGTTTATGCTAGTATGAAGACTTTCACTTAATTCACACGTAGATGGTCACTTGGAAATAGAGAGTGAAATAACTTAAAAGGCTATGAGCAAAGATTTAAAATTCCCCTAGCTAGTCCCCGGCGAGTGACGTCTGCCCTCTGTCGATCAGTCAAGCTGCACTTACAGTATCCATTTCCTTGGAAAACACATAAAGCGATGCTATCTTGAAGTCGATTTACAAGTGGCTCCTGAGCTTACCAGAACACGATAGCTTAATTTTAAGGGACTACGATATCTATGGAGAATTTAAGTGGATCTTTTGGTCCTTGCAAGAAAGAGCTTAGCAATAATGATATAATTCCGATATCGCTCCAAAGTTAATTGATAAATGTCGCTTGACAAACAAATTTTACAATTTAAAGTAATACTGATTTTCCGTCTACTTTGGTTGCGATTAAAGGATGATAGATATAGTGCAATTTTCATAATCTTATCAAAATCTAACATCAATAGACTCTGGTTAGCTTTTAGCCGTATTTTTGGAAAAGCTATTTCTGAGTATTGACCAAAACTTCAATTTTTTAAGATCAACTGATACGCTTCTTCTCGTGCTACTCGGAGATTTTTAAAGTCGAGTTTAGAATGGTCTAGATTACCCGTTGTCTATTAGAACCCATGGATATTCACTTTGGTGTCGCCACTATTTGAGGTCAGGTTA